TAGGATTTATTTCAAGGGGGGAGAGTCCAAAAAAATGTATGTAACTATTCTTTTTCTATTCTTTTTCTGAGTACCTACCTGTAGGACGTAAAGATTATTCATAGGTTTGTCTAATTTGATCAAAAAAAAATGTCCACAAGCAAATCAAATTAAATTTTTATGAGCTTTTGAAGTTATTATATATATGTATATATTTTTACAATATTGGATATCACTCAATTTCTCATGTAGCGGTTTTGTTATTTTATTGTTATTCAAAAACGATTGACTGTAGATTTACTGACTGTTTATATTTTCATTTTCTATACACCTATCATTAAGCCCGGCATCTATGGCCATTATCTGTTTGTAGGGTTGTATTGTATGGTGGTGGTAGGGTTTGGAACTGTGAGGTTCTACACGTGAGTGTTTGACCGAATTTTTAAGTGCGCACCCATAGGTATCTGCCATGCCCGAGTGGGGGATGGTGGCACTTGTTTTCCGGACACCGTGACTTGCCCGAAGAAAAATGCCACCCGTGACCAAGGAATCGAACCGGCGCCGGCTGCGTCGCAACCGACGCCTTAGACACATTTTTTTGTAAGCATTTAATTTTCGAATTTTGACATAATTTATCAAATTTAAAATTCAATCATTATTTTGTAGTTAAAAATTTATAAAATGTTCAACTTTTATAGATAAGGATTGAAAATTTAAAGCAAGGTTCCACGTAAATAATAGGTAAATATACAAATTACTTTATTCACAATAGTATATCACATATTATATTTACATTGTATGACCTTTTTCGTTAAGAATCGTTTTTCTTAAACAATGATATTATTTCATTGAATTAAAATTTAACACCATCCATTACAGTGACCCGTTTGTAAACTTCTATACAGCAGAACGACACCCATTTGCCCACATTTTTTTCTTTTGTTGAATACTTGAATACAGCGGTATTTTGGTATACGGGCAACGGGTGTATACGGCGTATACTTACTTTTCTAAATTTTTTTTTACCGTATACCTAATCTCTAAATTAACGACTAATACCTATTAGAATTTTCAATGATAAAAAGAGGAAAAAAATGTTTATGAGTGTGGCGGTAATTTGCTCAACAATATACAAATAAGTAGGTAGGTAGGTATATAATATATTTAATATTTATACATTATAAAATAAGTATGTGAATAAATATAACAATGTATAGAAAAACTATATATTCAAATAAAACTTAGCCTGGAATATTACGATTTTAGTTTATTTTAAGACAGATTTAATGACAATCGTGGAGAAAATTTATTAATGATTGTGAAACAAATATTGTAATTTTTACTTGTTCAAATAATTTAGAGATACTCAGCAAAATGAAAACAGTGTTTGTGGATGGAACTTTTAAAAGTTGCCCAAAATTATTTTACCAGCTTTTTACCATTCATGGTGTAAAAGATAACAATTTTTTTCCCTTAGTTTATTTCCTACTCCCCAATAAGAACAGTACTACCTACTTATATACAAGCATTTCGATTTATAGAACATCATATGAGGAATGATATTGTTTTTGCTGATTTTTAAGAGGCTATTCACCTGGCAGTTTCTGGTGTTTGGCCAGAGTCTAAATTAAGAGGATGTAGATTCCACTTATGACATGCGTGGTGGAGAAAAATCTAATCTCTAGGAATCTCAGAAGAATTTTAAAAAAAAGATTCAGAGATTGGACAAGTATTGAAATACTTTTTCGGATTACTTTTACTGCCACCTGATATAATACAAAACGTTTTTGTCGAATTGATTGCTATAACACCAGTACATGAAAAACTTGATACATTTTTTGATTATGTACTTGAAAATTATATCGAAAATAAAAGTGATTTTTTACCAAAAATTTGGGCAGATTTTTCAGTCACTTCAGAACGAACAACAAACTGTTGCGAATCGTTTCATGGAAAACTGAATTCTAGCCCACTCAAATATTTTTTTATTGATTGAACAATTAAAAGCGCTGCAATTGGAAACATACATAAAGCAAAGAAGCTCACTTAAATTAAAGTCAAGAAAAAAATTGCTGAAAAGGAAAAGCTTATTGATGAAAATATTAAAAAATTAAAAAAGGGCCAAATTTCGAACCTACAGTTCTTTCAAAATGTGTGTTGTAAATTCATACCACACTAATTTTTTTTCTTATATTATTTACCTATTATGACTTATTATTATTATTATTATTAAATTATTATTACTTATTTATTAAAAGCATAATTATTATTATTGATAAATACGTATGTAGCGAATATAATGTATAAATTAACTACTGAGCAACATTTTTAACCATACCTAGGTATTCTTGATAGTGTTTGGGGGGACGAGGTGGCCAAGTGGTCGATTCTCGACCACCGGACGGCATTTTTCTCCGGGCAAGTCACAGTGTCCGGAAAACAAGTGCCGCCATCCCCCCACTCCGGGGCATGGCAGAAACCTACGGGTGCCCCAATAAAAATTCTGCCACCACAAACACACTTGTTTACAAACCAACAGTTCCCTCCCCTACAAACTAACAAAACAGCTAATGGCCATAGTGATGATATATATATATATATTATGCCGGGCTTAATGATCAATGAAAAAAAAAAAAAAAAATTGATAGTATTTGAACTATTCAAACTTATTTGAATTCTAGACAGTCCTCAGTCTGAATAAATGGGAAGGAAATTGTTGCTGGTTGAATATATATCATAATAATTTGGTAAGTTCATTTGACAAGGTTGTATTATTTATGAAAGCTTGAGGGAACCAACTCGTATGTTATATGTAGACGAACCAATTCGTAGTCGTCCGTATTTTTAATAGTGTTAAAATATAGTTATATAGGTACCAATTAATTTTAAATTTACAATTATATAAATATAATAGATAAAATAATCAATATAAAAATGAGTTTATTATTTTGTGCATAGAAATGTTGATAATGAACCATTACGTACGTCTAGTAGGTACACAATGTAAGATGCCATTAATTATTAGTAGTTCACCATCCAACAAGACTTACTAAGATTATAATAGTGATTACACACAGAAAATGCTATAAAAAAGTTATTCAAACACAACAAATTTTAATTTTTTTAATTTGTTGTAATTTACTTGGAGTTAAATGGAAAAAATTATAATAACTGTGATTAAAAATGATTTGTATATTTAGATGTGTAGGTAATGTACTGTCTAATATAGAACCTACAATAAAATCTTCTAAAGGACCGTCAACTATAGATGTAGACAGTTATACTAGTCATACAATAGGCAAGGCTGAGTAAGTCAATGATTTTTTAACTCAGGTAAGTTAAATTAAGTATTTTTTTTTTCAATTTTATTAAAAGTTAAGTCAATAGACATTTTTAATACATCAATGATATTTAAATTAAGTTCTCAAATACTGTTGAAACTTCGTGACAAATATTATTTAATTTGGTTCGATTTTATATTTTGTAATCGTATCCGAATTTAATACAAATAAAAACTATACTTTTGTTCTTCAAGTAATAATTGAGTAGGCATATATATTTTATGTTCATAAATAATTTTAAAGAGAATAATAACTGCAATATTCGCCTTTTACTTCAATTTAAGCACCTGCAGTACAATATAAGATTGAAGATAGTGAAAATTTGTAAATTTAAAAAAATAGTCTTAGTATTTACAAAAATAAAATAAAAATACCTATATATTTTATGTTCATAAACAATTTTAGTGAGACTAATAACTGCGATTTGCCATCTACTGCAACTTGTCTGCAGTGTACCTGCAAGTAAAATTGATGACATTAGCCGATAGTGAAATCTCGTAAATTATATAAATTAGTATCTTTATTTTTAAATAACAATAAATACACTAAATTTAAATAACGAATATAAAACTTTGCCAGTGAGTGTAACACAACATCAATTGAAGAAATTTCCAATTTTAGCGGATATTTCAGATATAATACATCCCATCAATTCAAAACCACAATATAATTTTTTTTTCTTTTTATTTAAATTAATATTGAAAGATTATTGGGCCTCACTGAGAAAAACTCGTGTGGAGGCCCATGGGTTATCTCAGATTACAAATAATTCTTATTTTTTTCGGGTACATGTTACAATTTTAAAAGACATATAAGGAGTTTTTCATAAATAAATCACATTAATAATTCCAGTAAATATTAAAAGCGTTAATTTGGTATGTTACATACAATTTTAAGTTTTACACACATCATACTCATATAGTAGCCAGTCGTTAATTTTTTTTTTTGAATATGGGTAGCGGTAAATTAACCGTATCATTGGGCATCAAGTTAAGTATCTGTGATAACAAAATTGAAGAGAGGTTTATAGGATTTTTCGATGTATCAAAAGATAAATCTGCTTTTGTCCTATCTGAAATTTAATTAACAGAAATAAAAAATTGGAATATAGTTGATAAACTAGTGTGTCAAACATATGACGGAGCAGCTAGCTGTTATGGCAGGGCAAAAGAATGGAGTTCAAGCTATTATTAAACAGTCGTATCCAAAAGCAATGTTCATACATTGTTATGCTCACCAACTTAACCTAGTGTTTCTACACGGATCAAAATCGATAAAATCTGTAAAAATATTTATAAGTGATTTGACTATTTTCATACATTTTTTAGTAGATCGCCAAAAAGGAGTCAGCTTTTAAAGGAAAAGGGGTTTAAACTTCCTCAAAGTTGTGGAACGAGGTGGAATTATCACTCCAGAGCTGCTGCAACTATTACTACCCATTTTATAGAATTGAAAAAGGTGATAACTTGTGTAACAGACGACTGCGATCCAATAACTATAAATATGGCATATGGTTTATTGCATAAGTTATCAAATCTTAAATTTGTTTATTTACTTTGTTTGTATAAAAAACTATTTTTATATTCAGATCATGTATTAAAAATACTACAGACTTAATGTACTGCCGATGTTCAATATTGTGCCAATCAAATAAAAATATTTTCCGATAAATTAATTGCAATGAGAAAAGAGGAAACTATATCAATATGTTGTAAATCGGCGATGGAGTTAAATAGCGAACTACAATATTCAGAAAAAAATATAATTGATCTCAAAATTCTAACTTATGAAATATTAGATTCTATAATAGTACAAATTGAAGTTCGATTTAAAGATTTCATAAATTTAAAATTGTTCGAACTTACAAATAATATGTCGTTTAAGGATTACAAAAATAATTTCTCAATGGATAAACTAATGGAACTGAAAAATCATTTTCCAGACATATTTAACTTAGAACGATTACAAAATGAATTGGAAATACTTTATAACAGCCCTGATAAATATTTAACACCAAAAGATTTATTCAATTATTTATACAAAAGTAAGAATATAAATAATTATAATGTACATTTTAATTTAAAATATTTATAATTAATTATTTTTATTTAATTTTAGACAATTTACTAGATGTATATCAAGAACTTTCAAAATTGTCACAATTAGTATTATGCATCCCCGTAACAACTTCTTCCAGTGAGAGGAATATGAGTGCTTTGAAGCGTATTAAAACGTTTTTAAGAAATTCTATGAACGATGACCGACTGTCAAATTTGTCATCACTGACCTTTGAAAAACAAATGTTGAACGAGTTATCCACAGATCCTACATTTATTGATGAAGTTATTGATTTATTTGCAAAAACAAAAAACAGAAAAATAGATTTAATCTATAAAATAATATAAAAAAATTGTTAGTAGGTACTACGAATAAAATAAATTTATTTGTTTTTTTTTTGTTTAAATAATTTCTTTTTAAAAAATATTATTTTAAATTTGTCTACCCTAATCCCGTGAAGTAGGTAAGTAAGCATATTATAATATGCATATATATGAATTAATAAGAATTAGTTAGTAAATGTTTAATGTAGTTCCCAATATAGTTACACTGAGAGTATATAATATTATTTTAAAAGTAAATAATATTATAATTAATATATATACACTAGCTGATCCCTTTTTTAATTATTTTATTCATTGTAGCCTGTAGGTATATAAATTTTATGCTGTGGAACCTAACCATATTTATCTATGGTTAGATATTTATCTTTTTTGTGCCAAAATTGTATTGTTAACCAAAAAAGTCGCACAGTGGGTTGAATGGCAATTTTAGACGGCGAAAAGTACTATTTTTAAAACAAAAAAAGGAAATTGATAGATGTTTAACAATATAAACATTTTTTGCATTCAAATTCAACTGTTATTCACAAAAATTATTTTCTTAAAATAAATATAACGTAGGTCATATTGTAAATATCGATATTTTCTCTTTATTATTATACTTAACTTATACATTTACATTGTGTATGTATAAATTGTTAAATTTTTTTTTAATTATTCTTCCTTACCTATTTTATTAATTGTATCTATCATAGGTACATTTATTTTTTTTTCATATGTAAACATTTTTTAATTTATTATTTAAAGACAATACAACATAACAATAAAGCTCTTAGCGTTTATTGATATTATGTTGGTGAATATTGTTAATATTACATTATATGAATTTATATAATATATACGATGTACATATTGACTACCTTTTATTAAATGTCTTATAATATATATATATGAGTATTTATTAAAATTTTTAGTAATTTTACTTTTATATAAATTATGTGTTACTGTGTTATGACTTATCCATTATGTTGTATATAGAATAGTAATATTAAATATATGAAGTAGGTAAGTAAGCATATTATAATATGCATATATATGAATTAATAAGAATTAGTTAGTAAATGTTTAATGTAGTTCGTAATAAGTAGTTCGTAAACTGAGAGTATATAATATTATTTTAAAAGTAAATAATATTATAATTAATATATAATAAACACTAGCTGATCCCGTGCACGTCGTTGCCTTAAAAAAAATAACATCTATTTAAAAAATTGCCATTGTTCAAATCCTTTTGGATGTAACTCGTATAACAGTAAGTGTAATTCAGCCACCCTGGTACAATTCGCAAAGGTACATCAAGTATAAAATCCATCAGCGGTGGATTGTGCGGACACCATAGTGGTAGGCAATATTCGACAATCCGATTTGATGCACTCTTAATTAACCAATATACAAATAAAATACTGATATTAATACGTCATTAATAATAATGACAATTTACCCATAACGATTAACCAGTGGCAACCAATAGTTATTATTATTATTATAGCTTTAAAACCTATAGCAACCATTTATAAACAAAAATTTCTATCGCCAATCTCAAAATCCCCGTTTGAGCACCTCCAAGGGTTGGACCTAGGATATTGTAATAAGATTGTTGAAATGCTATTCTACAAAGAATAATATAATATGGAGGAATAGCACTAATTGTAATTAATTTTAGTTGACAAAAAATACATATAAGTACCATAAGTCTATATATAGCTACATTTTTATGTATATTTATGAAAACAAGACGGGTTTAGGTACGTTTTATAGATACGTGTAAGTCATTGAGTATTAAACTAGATTTAGTTTATTTTATATAGGTACTTACTTAAAAAAAAATGAAGTTAATCTTTAAAATAGATTTTGAGTACCTAGGTCTGTAAAAAAAGTAAAAACTAATAACAAAATGTGCTATTTTAAAAAAAATTATTTAAATGGACGTTAGATTTAATACGGTACGGTATTAAATCAGTATAGGTATCTACTATATAGGTACATTTTTTTTTTTTTTTTGAACAAAAATTAATATTTATAATCTGTATTTACACGGTACACAATAAGTAAATTTGATGAGGTTTGATTGGCGGCACCCCATGTAACATTAACTTATTTGTTTTTTTTCATAAGAATTGAACAAACTGTAGTAGGCATTCTACATGGCTTTTATGAGGTTTTATATTTAATTTAAATAATTTGTGTAGGTACTTACAAAACTGAAAATGTTAAATTTCATAGTTTGAGAGTTTAAGAGTCCTGATAAATCAATTTCAAGTATTGGTACTAACCGGTTGTGAACATTATTTTCATTACATTTTTGTAAGTGGGTATATAAAAATAAAGATTGTGTGTAGAATCTAGAAATCTTTGCTCCTTAGATAATAGTATAGTTCAATATGTCATGATTTCCTATTCAGATTAATGGTTTAGAATAGCACATTTATAGGGTAGAAATAATTTATTGAAAATTTGTGTTTGGATTGTGTTCTCACCCAATGCTGGACCAGGAGTGTCAAACAGGGGTTTTTGGTGTACCTAATTAGTGTTTAATTAGTGTCATGTACGGAAATTGAAAAATTTTGGTCCACCACAATTGAGTGGTGTCCTAACGAGGTCTTGCAATAATAGAATATATTTTTTTACAGTTCCGATTAAAAACCGCGTCACAAGTTTGTCCCCCACCCCCGCAAAAAAAAATAGATAATATAATAGATATTGTGCATGTTAAACAGGACACGTAATGTTGCACGACGATTCTATTTTGCATAACAGGTGTTACATTATATTATATCTCACTAATATGGGATTTATTATTATTTCGAGGCTGATTGTAAATTAAAATTTTAATAGTAATTCTATTGTTAGCATATTCTGCATGGAAGAAATAATATTAAATTGGTTTTACGCCCTCTTTGCTTTTAAGTTTTATATAGTGTACATTATAGCTACCTATAATATGTGTGTCGGGATAATAATAATACCTTCGCCGGTTTACATGTTATTATTATTGTGTGAACAACCACTATTATTGTTGACAATTTCAGCAAGAGTATATTATTACTTTGTCTTATAAAAAAATCAAATTTACAGACATTTTAAAATATTTAGTTTATCTGGAACATTAGAGACAATACTTGGACGAAGAGTAGTTGGCCAAGAACCTATACTCTCGAAAAAATCACCAGCATTTCAATACATTAGTGATGTAAGCTTAGAAGCTCCTATTATACACATGTGGTTAAACTGTTTATTTAAACTTAATAATATATAATTGTATATTTATGATATATTTTATGCATAAGTGACAGTAAAAATGTGTAGGTATATCTAGTGTTTGAAGTATGAGAAATATTTCATGAAATATTTCATTTTGAAATATTTCACTAAGTTGTGAAATATTTCACAAAAACGTGAAACATTGAAATTTTTTTAACACAAATAAAAAGACAATTTATTAATTTTTTTAACACAATGTTCAGTGTTCTAAATTCTAATGTCAGAATTCAGTAAGTATACAATATACATGTATAATATTGTATACCTACTTATATCATTTAAACATTAAAATATTTAAAAATGTTGAATACCAATTTAAATGTATAATACCAAAGGTTAGGTATACATACAGGTACCATATAGTGATGAAGGTAATTTATGACAATTATATGTAAATATAAAACTTATTTAAAAATAAAACAAAATATAATAAAATACTGAAATATTTCACATATTTTGAAATATTTCATGAAATATTTCACGAAATATTTCATTTTTTTAAATTTCATGAAATTTTCAAACACTAGGTATATCTATTGTTAAGGTCCTTACCGATTTAATAACACACAATGTTTATCTTAGTTAAAAAAAATTAAATTCCAAATACTCATTAGTTAGAATTACAATAGAAACAGTGGCATTATTATGCGTTGGATGATAGGGATAAATTCCAGCAGACATTATTATTTTTTTTTATGCTGTGGTTTTTCCCAATTATGAATACATTCTGTTTAATAACTTTTTAAATTTCCAACATTATTATTTTCCAATGCCATAGTATTACTCATCGGTATACATATTAACAAAAATAACAATTTAACTAGTACAATTAAATAATATCTCAAAGTAAGAGTACTTAAAATTGTTATACATTATTATAGTAAACAGTAATAGCACCATAAAGCCATGTCTACACATTTATAACCTATAAACCAGGGTGTAAAGAATAAGACTCGAATTCAGAGCTTAGTCTTAATTAATATTATTATGTTTTTTTTTTATGAGGGGTTGCAAAATTCTTAACAATTTTTTTCCCTCATACCCTAACTAAGCCACTGAATAGACAATGGAATTCATATTAAGAATTACGATTTATTAATTTATTTTGTTATTTTTAGGGGAACATTTCAAATGGAATTGGAAGATGGATATTCATTTGATTGTCTAATATCTATAATTTCTTTAGAGAGCAAGGTAAGGCAAGTGGTACTGTATAAGAAAAATGTTCAATTATTAGAGCTATAGTATTTATTGGAATACATTTTGTTTAAAATATCCTCAATATTTTTTTCTCGGCCGCTAAATGTTAGGTGATCCATTCTTGAGCCACTGATGACTATTATATTTTCATCTTCCCTGTGTTCACAATTGTCCTGATGATCGCATACCCATTGCTAAACAATCTATAATAGTTATTCAAAAATTGATGAAATAAACAAATTATATAAATATTTGTAAAAATAATTTGGTTTTATATACATTAATATATCATTTTTTTTATTCTAAATTTTGTAAGGTTTGTGATAATACTTATATGTATAAAATATTATTTTGTTCAATTAAAATATTTATCGTTCATTGAATATATTGTATACAAATTTAAAATACAATTAAGCAACTCATAACACAAACAAAAATAGACATTTTTATTAAGACAATTTTTTTTAGTTGTTTTTCAAAAAGAAAACGATTAATTACTATTTAAGTAATACATTTAGTATTATGTAGGTACCTAATTATCTTAA